TCATAACTTAGAACATAGAATTGGGTCAATATAACAGAAAGAACCTACTATCACAGCGTACTTTCAGTATTATTAAGATCTGACTTCATGTAATAATTAAAAACCTGTGTCTTATTATTAAAAAAAACATTTCCAGATATTATTCCATAGTTCAGTGGTCTTAAATGTTTCTAAATGATTGTTAAGTGGGATCTCATGTAGCTATATGCCTTAGGACACTGTCTTAGATGTAATTTTCCTTGTAATATGCTGCCTGGTACAGTATATGTTCTGTGAAGTCTTCTGGGAGAGGCAGTAAGCTAATTTCAGAAGCATCAGGGAATGAGTTTCAAGGAAATCCTGTCTGCAAACTGAACACTATTACCATGGTTGCAAGGAGAAAATTTTGTTTTAAATTTTCCAATTATGGACACATTTTTGGTAGCCGCAGCACTGAAATTTATTTTTTTTAATCTGAAAAGGGACTTGAGTTGAAATAAAATATAGCGTTTCACCCAAACTGAAGTTTCCTTAAAAGATACAGTCCAGTCAAATGAACCCTTGATATGCATACGGAGAAAATAAAGAAATGCCCGTAGCAAAAAGAAAGAAGAAATGGCGCAGGGCATACATGACTAGGCCCAGAGTGGGGAAGGAGGAACAGAAAGGGTTAAGGCAGATCCAAGGGGTTTGTTTTTGTTAGTGGGGGTATTTTGTTGGTGGAAGGTTGAGAGTAGGTGGGGTTTCCTGTACCTTAGGGTGGGGGGTTTCAGTGAGGGGGCGTCAGTTGGAGCTGGACGTCAGGTGAGAGCTTCCCTCCCGCCCTCCCTGTTTTGGTGAGTATTGGGTCCCTCCAGGTAAAGGGGGGTAATGTTGGTTCCTGAGCGGTTGTTGGTCTTTGGAGGCGATTCTTATCTTGGAAGGTAAAAACAATGGTGTGGGACCCATCGGTGGTATGGGATGCCCGGGGACATTCCCAGTTAACCAAGGTTTAACTGGAAGGTGGTGGTGCTGCACTGCAGATGGTATGGTTGTCTCCGAGCTGGTTGGTTGCGGCTGGAGGCCTAGTGTATATGGTTGTCCGCAGGTGCATTTCGGCTTGTTTGGGGGTGCCTTCGAAGACCAACAACAATTCTTTGGGTTTCTGTTATAAGGAATGGTTGGTGTATTAAAATGTGTGTTGTTAATAAAAGGCCGTGTTGGCCATTTACTCCAAACTTAGTGTCATGTTTTTTGTAAGTATATTGGTTAAGGGGAAAGGGGGGGATTTGTACGGAACGGTCATGGTGGTAATGGGGAATGGACAAGCCTATCTCTGGTGCAATAGTCATGTATTTCCTCAGATTATCAACAGACTCTCCCATTCGCTAATGCAATAATCGAGAACCCCTGCTTTTGAGGAGTTCCCCCAGACACCCACTGGAGACTTCTTGCTGTCACTCTCAACCTGAATTAAACCTGTTTAATGTAGAGACAGGCAGAGATGTGTCTTGTCACCTTACTTGTTCAACCTATACAGTGAGGTCATCTTCAGAAAAGTACATGTGGAAGAAGAGTCTGTCGGTGTTAAAGTTGGTGGCTGAAATATGAACAACCTGGACTATGCAGATGACACAATGCTCATCACCAGCCGCAAAGAAGATATGCTGTATCTACTGAGAAAAGTTAAAGGATGAAACTAATAACATTGGATTAAAACTGAATGTAAACAAGAGGAAGATCATGAACACAGAAAATGCCAACAATTGTGACCTTGACGGTGACAGAATTGAAGTTGTAAAGCATTTTAATCTCATCGGCTCTCTCATAAACAAGGAAAAATCCAGCAGTGATGAAAATATTCTACAGAATTGCACTTAGTGGCTACACAATGAAGACTCTCAACAAAGTTTTCAAAGACAAAAGAATTACACTGAAAACAAACATCAGACTTGTCTATGCGCTCATTTTCTCAGTTGTCAATTACGGTTGTGAAAGCTGGACACTACAGAAGCAGGATAGAAAGAAGATCAACTCATTTGAGCTTTGGTGCTGGAGAAGGATTTTATGTGTGCCGTGGACAGCTCATAAACTATATTGGCAAAAGTATTGGGACACTCCTTCAAATCATTGGATTCAGGTGTTCCAATCACCTCCATGGCCACAAGTGTATACAATCAAGCACTGAGGCAAGCAGACTGCTTCTACAAACATTTGTGAAAGAATGGGTCGCTGTCAGGAGCTCAGTGAATTCCAGTGTTATACCGTGATAGGTTACCATCTGTGCAATAAGTCTATCCATAAAATGTCCTTGCTTTTAAATATTCCACGGTCAACTGTTAGTGGTATTATAACAAAGTGGAAGCAACTGGGAACAACAGCAAACTCAGCCATGAAGTGGTAGGACACGTAAAATGATAGAGCGGGGTCAGAGCATGCAGTGCGCAGTTAGTTCGCAGAAGTTACCAACTGTCTGCAGAGTCAATAGCTAAAGACCTCCAAACTTCGTGTGGCCTTCTGATTAGCACAGTGTGTAGAGAGCTTTATGGAATGGGTTTCCATGGCCAAGAAGCTGCATCAAAAACTTATAACACCAAGTGCAATGCAAAGTGTCAGATGCAGTGGTTTAATGCACACGTCCACTTGACTCTAGAGCAGTGGAGACATGCTCTCTGGTGTAAGGAATCACGCTTCTCTGACTGGCAATCCAATAGGCATGTCTGGGTTTGGTGGGTGCCAGGAGAATGGTACTTGCCTGACTGCACTGTGCCAAGTGTAAAGTTTGGTGGAAGGGGGATTATGGTGTGGGGTAGTTTTTCAGAGGTTGGGCTTGGCTTTTAGTTCCAGTGAAGGGAACTCTTAAGGCGTCAGCATGCCAAGACATTTTGGACAATTTTATGCTCCCAACTTTGTGGGAAGAGTTTGGGGATGGCCCCTTCCTGTTCCAACATGACTGTGGACCAGTGCACAAAGCAAGGTCCATACACACATGGATGAGTGAGTTTGGGGTAGAGGAACTTGGCTGGTCCTGACCTCAACCCGTTAGAACAACTTTGGGATGAATTAGAGAGGAGATTGCGAGCCAGGCTTTCTCATCTGACATCAGTGTTTGACCTCACAAACACACTTCTGGAAGAATGGTCAAACATTCCCATAGACACCCTCCTAAACCTTGTGGACGGCCTTCCTAAAAGAGTTGAAGCTGTTATAACTGCAAAGGGTGGGCTGACGCAATTCCTACGGACTAAGACTGGGATGCCATTAAAGTTCATGTGTGTGTAAAGGCAGGCCAACCAATACTTTTGGCAATATAGTGTAAAACTAATAGATTGATTTTGGAAGGGATCAAACAGGCTAGAAGCCCAAATGATGAAGTTGCAACTCTCCGCTTTTTGTCACACTATCAGCCAATGAAGAGGTCATTGGCTCCCACTGCTATCAGTCACAGCCAGTCAACCAATGAGGAGAGAGAAAGGGTGGGGGGCCAAGCCACAGCTGTGTGTGAATGGGCACACGGAGCAGCAGGTGCCCCCATAGCAAGCTGCTTGCTGTGGGGGCACCCAACAGACAGGGGGAGCCAGGAGAGCCTGCGGGGGACACGAGAAGAGGAGGATCCACTGTGCTGCTCTGTGCAAAACCACTGCACACAGTAAGTAACTATAGATATGTTTGTTATTTAAAAAAAAAAAGAACCACTTTTAGAATCACTTTAAGAACCTAACAACACTTATACCACCTGTAATTTTGTCCATTCATGAAGATCAGTCTGTAACCTTGAATATTTGTTTGCAACTGTATAAACGTGCAATGAAAACATATTCGGCCAACAAAAGCTAATGACCCCATGAATCTACTATTGTCTCCTAAACAGTTTTAATAAATAATTTCCTGAGTTGTTTTCCTTGTGCAGAAGTTTGATCCACAGAGTGTCTTCCAAGTTCCAAATCGCTTTATCTTCCCCCACTATTAAACACTAGTTTATTGCCTCTACAGAGTGATTCCAAAGTTGTAAACCTGGATAGATTGCCGTGTTTTCCTGTTTAACTGCCGCCCAATGGTTTATGCCATCTTGTGGCACGAGATAGTCGAAGTTGCAAGGTAAACATAAATAGTCATTGAAGGAACGACTACGGCAAATACTCTGTTGTTCTTACAGATCCTGAATGGTAACATGTGAGGTAGGAGAAGAGACATGTTATTAACTCGCTGGCATGCGCTGATAATTACCGTAACATCTGCTATGTTTTTTTTTTTTTTGCAACACAATTCAAGTCCTGATGGTAGCTCTTGGCATCCCATGTTACCGTTTCATTTGCATTTATTTTCCAGTCTTCCATTTTTAACTAAGAACATATTCAGCTTTTGCAATGACTTAAGTACGAGTGTCTGGTCCTATCTTTACAGCCCACATTAGTCATTAGACAAGCAGTCGCATCGTTCACATATTGTACAACTGGTTCCTTTTCATTTTTTAAACCTGTTATTTGATTTTTTTTTTTTTTTTGTCCTATGCAAGTCAAATCAAGGTGTTGGTAAAGATGTGTAAAACTCAGACATGAAATAAAGACAAAGCAATATCCCTCTACAGTGTTTACTTGTCTCAATTAAAGCGTTAAAAAACCCCGGACCCTGCATTCACTATATCTGGTCTCCCACTATATCTGGACTCTGCATTCACTATATCTGGTCTCCCTGGATCTGGTCTCCCTGGACCCTGCATTCACTATATCTGGTCTCCCTGGACCCTGCATTCACTATATCTGGTCTCCCTGGACCCTGCATTCACTATATCTGGTCTCCCAGGACCCTGCATTCCCTATATCTGGTCTCCCCAGACCCTGCATTCCCTATATCTGGTCTCCCCGGACCCTGCATTCACTATATCTGCTCTCCCAGGACCCTGCATTCACTATATCTGGTCTCACTGGACCCTGCATTCACTATATCTGGTCTCCCTGGACCCTGCATTCACTATATCTGGTCTCCCCAGACCCTGCATTCACTATATCTGGTCTCCCCAGACCCTGCATTCCTATATCTGGTCTCCCCGGACCCTGCATTCACTATATCTGCTCTCCCAGGACCCTGCATTCACTATATCTGGTCTCCACAGACCCTGCATTCCCTATATCTGGTCTCCCCAGACCCTGCATTCACTATATCTGCTCTCCCAGGACCCTGCATTCACTATATCTGGTCTCCCCAGACCCTGCATTCACTATATCTGCTCTCCCAGGACCCTGCATTCACTATATCTGGTCTCCCCGGACCCTGCATTCATTATATATCTGCTCTCCCAGGACCCTGCATTCACTATATCTGGGTCTCCCCAGACCCTGCATTCACTATATCTGGTCTCCCCAGACCCTGCATTCACTATATCTGGTCTCCCACAGTACACACAACATGGAAATGCAATTATTTTAGTAAATATAAACTGCTAAATACATTTTCTCAACAGCAGTTAGAGCAGTCTTGTGATTTCTGTCAGTGTTCAGCTGAACACTGGTTAAAGCTTCTAAGAGGAGTTTTCATTCTGCTCTGACTGTTCTATCAGGCTGCATGACCCCTGACCCTCCATCTGGACAGTGCTGATTCGCCCTGTGCTGATCACATGCACTCTCCCAAAGAAAAAAAAAACTCTCTAGCAATACACATCAAACTGAGCATGTGCAGAGTGACTGCTAGAGCTCTGTATTATCAGCAGATAGATTGGGGACTGTGGAAGAAGGGGAGGATCAGAGAAGACAGGATCAAACACACAATGCGGAGGATTAACCCCTTAGGTTCAACAGTGAGTATAACAAGCATGCTTTACTGCATATACAGACTGATTTTTCTGTTGTGGGTTTAGTAACACTTTAAGAGCACTAAGTGTCATTTCTGTCTGAGGCTGCATTGAGGTACAGTGCTGGGATCCACAGAGAGTTATTTTTTTTTCCTTTTTTCCCTTCTTTTTAGCCTTTAACCTCCTTAGCGGTTTTCCCAAGTGTAGCTCGGGGTAAAATTTGAGTACCAAGAGCGGTAACCCCGAGCTACACTTGGGCTTACCATGCGGCGTTGCTTGGGGGGTCCCTGCAGCACTTACCTTGTCCTTCGCTCCCCCGATGTGTCCCCTGCAGCATCCCCGGCCATCTCCTCCGGCTGATGCCGGCATCCGGCTTCCGTGTTCCGATCCCTGTGACGTCGGGACGTACGGGCGCCGGAACTTTGAAATTTTTAAAAAATGTCATTTTTGCTGTCATTGCTGTTTCAATGCATTTCACATATATTTTGCCCCTACTGCTTTGTCCTGTGCCCTGCCTGCATTTTGACTGTTCTTTCTGCCTGGAAACTTAGAAAAGTCCATTGCGTCCAAAAAGCGTCCCTTTCTTCAAAAGCGGTTTTAGAACAGCGATAGTAAATCAGAACCACTTGCAGAATTGAATGATAATGATTCGTGGGGAAATTCGTCATCAGACACTGAAAACGATTTTGCGACTTTGCTCAGCGATGTGCGAATTTGCCTCTGTATTTAAAATTTCAGTGTTTTTGGTTTGATTATATTATTGAATTAAATTTATTATTATATTATTATTTTTTTATGATTATTTATTAAATTATAATTTATGATTTCGTGTTTCAAGTTTTATCATATCCGGATTGTTTACTAGACTCTTGTTCGTACAGATTTCAGTGAGTTATTCCTAAAAATTACAGCCTACAATAAAAAACTACATATTTCCATGCAAAAAAATGGTACCGCTTTCAGCACAAAAAATCGGAAAGAATCATACCGCCAAGGAGGTTAATTTTTTTTTTTTTTTTTTAAAGCAGGGTTTCCTGAAAGGTCCACTTTGAAAAATACGAATGTGCAGCACCAAACTATATCATACGGTAAACCCCCTCAAATACAGACATATTCTGAATATAATCAGTTAAGCGCCCATTATAAATATGAAAAACGCAATCAAAGTAAAGTTCACAATAAAAATAAATCTTGAGTATGTCCACACCACACCCTTTAAGTGAAATTCAAGCTCACCAGATGGGTTTGGTGCAATAAATACAGCACAGCCAGCTCATATATTAATATCCAGTTCAGCTTCTTCATCCACTGTCATCACAGGTTTCCAACCATGATATTGCCCATGTTGGGCGTGGCATGTTTATGATGTCATCACGTACTGGCGCCAATCTGTGCTGTTTGCAGGCCCGATTTACTGTTTTGTATGCCCAAGCTAACAGTCTGTTACAATAGTATTTCATATAAGAAACTTCCACTATTTGCACCTTATTTAATGTGGATGTGGACACTCATTTTTACAAAATGAAAGGAGGGATTTTTAAGCATTTTTCATGATGGGAGATTGTTTTATTTTGCATCCTTTGGTGACATCACATGTTGAGGGCGTTTGTATGCCTGTGGTAAAGCCGTCCTTGGCCATGATATATTGCATGTATACAGGGGCGGACTGACAACTCATGGGGCCCCAGGGCAATAGGGGATCATGGGGCCCCTGTGTCCTTGCCCAAACCCACAAAAGCCTATGAAAAAGGTACCAGGGGCATCTCATGGGGCCCCCTACCCCGGGCCCTCGGGCAGTGCCCACGTTTCCAAATGGTAAGTCCGCCCCTGCATGTATAATGACCATTTATAATGTGATGGCCCATTTATTCTGATAAGAGGCGCTTTTACCCGTGTCAATCTCCTCTATTGGTGGATTATACTGCACTAACTGATGAATGGTGATCTCTGTTTACACTTTGTGGATTGGACTCTTTGTTTGGATATAGGATTTCTAGGGAAGGATTGTGTTATTTATCTTTCTTTTTGGATGATTTCTGTATGGACACTTATTTTAGTGTTAATATTTTGTTTATTAATATTTTTATAATTTTTTTATGAAATTGTAATTTTGAGTTTATGTTACATGTTGATAATTGAATTTTTATTAGCGCTGCTTTTTGTTTGCATTTTTTTTTCTATAGGCAAGACATAGCATTTTCATGGAAGATCCACTTTGGAAAATACAAATGTGCAGCACCAAACTATATCATATATACAGTAAATCTTCTCAAATAGAGAAATATTTTAAATATAATCAGTTAGGTGTCCAATATAAATGTGGAGAAAGTTCATAAATGAAAGTAAATGTGTCTCCACCACCGTGCCCAGTTGGGATTCAGTCTTCTTCAGTATGCCCATACCCTAAAGTGAATTGCAAACTCACCAGGTGGTTTTGCTGCAACAAATACAGCACAGCTATCTCAAATAATAACATTCAGGTCAGCTTCTTTAACCACTGTCATCATAAGTTTCAAGCAAGGATATTGCTCCATCTGGCAACTAGGAACACTGCAAAACCACACAGCAGCTCATAGTGTTGCATTTTTAAAAGTTAGTTCCAGTACACAAATAAAACATCCAGAATCCAAAAAAGGCAAACAGTCTCACAAAACAAGCCACTGCTCGGCATCCGACAGCAGCGGTATGACGTTAGCGCTAAGACTTCACCGTAAGCGTTTTGTCCAATGGAACATCTTCAGGGGACTTCTGGAGCCATATTGTTGTAGTGTACATTATCCTGATCCCTTCCATATTAATGCAGAGTACCTCTTAGAACCTTTAGAGGATAACTACTGAGCTCTCAGTGGCCATGTTCTAGAAGCTCTATATCAATGTATTATCCACAGTAAACCATTGAATAATGCCATATTACAGTGGATAGAGGCCATTCAAATTTAACTAGGAAACACACCACCATATCCTTGGAAACTTCAAAACTTTGAGCTTTCTGAGGATAGAGTGATGTTTTTCCTGGATCCCTACTACAGATATGAAATATGCGTTCTTATATTGGTCCAAATTGGACCAATGTAACTATGCAATAAACGGTATACCTAGACTTCAGCTTTAACTTATGCCATGGTTACAGAATACCTCCCTCTCTCCTTGTTCTGTAGCTCTCAGAAATTAAATGGGCAGGGCTGATATCACTGCTTGAGATTTCATTGCAGAGTGAACAAGACACAGGGCAGCATTGGATTTCTGGCAGGAACGACAGGAATTTTTTGGTGAATAGATTTAACAAACCTAAAGGAAACACATAATACACTGCATGTTTGTTAGGGTTTATATACAATTTAATTATAAACTATTTATATTTTAGAGAAATGTAAAATGCCATACTTGTGGCAAATATCCTACTGCTTTTATGATGCTGTGAAAAATATGAAAAATTATGGTAGATTTCAAATTAATTTATGGGGATTATTAAAGCTCTAGAACAGCGGTCTCCAAACTGCAGCCCTGGGGCCATTACAGCCCTTTGATTGCTTTTATCCAGACCTTGGACCTTTCACTGATATGAGACATTATTCTGCCAACTGACACCAACACAGAGCACCATTTCTCCCAGTATTCCTCCCAATATTACCAACAATGGGACACTATCCCTCCCCCTAATACCAAATGTAGCAATGTTTGTGTCTGCTAATGCCAGGAAAAATGTCCACTGCCGCTGGCCACAGTCTAGCCCCCCAAAAGTCTGAAGTATAATAAATGTACCCAAAGAACTCCCAGTTGGACTTCAATGTAGCAATAGGATCATACATATATTGAAAGAGACATTTTTGGAATTTAATATATTCTGTTTTTCATACCATCTTTCGTCCCACTGGGGGGATGTTCTGGTGCCCTTCTCTCAGTCTTTGTTGTCTGGTGACTTACATCTGACCACTCTTGCCCTCTTGGATGATGCACCCCGCTGGAACATGGTGTCCAGTCTCTCAGTCTCTCATCTTGGAAGTCATCCTCTCTTTTGCTCTGACATATGCTTTTGTAAGTAAAAAATTCTTTGGTTATGTGAAAAACATTTTTTTTTATTATCTGTTTATTTATTTTTGGTATACTCATTTATGATTGTTTATATATCTACTAGAAAGTCCTTTGTCTTTCATGCCCCCTGAGGAAAATCTAGAATGTGGAATTATCAAAACGCATCATGGTTTTTTCTTTCTTTTCTGTGTGGTATCATATTCTTGTATTAAGTGTTCTCTTGTAAGAATACTGTCAGAGCAATATTCTTTTTAGAAATCATGTATTTAATATTACAATGGAAATGTGTATGTAATAAAGTTGATAAAAATCTTCTTTAACCACATGTCTCTTTCAATATATGTATGATCCTATTGCTGCATTAAAGTCCCACTGGGTTTTTTTTTTGGGTATATGCATTCATATAGGGATGAGCAGCCAGATACTCAACCCTTTTGGTTATGAAGTACAATAAACTGGCCCTTTTTTTAGAAAGTTTGGAAATCCCTGCTGTAGAAGATCAAATAAAATAATTTAAAAAAAGCATTAACTAAATCATACATGCTACAACTAGATAACAATGATTTAAATTT